ATCTGTCTGTGTCTTACTATATCTTGTTCCTCTAATAACTGCTTAGTGAAAAATACTAACGCAAAAAACCTACAACAATCGAATATGCGGGACCTGCGTGTCCCACCTTCAAAACCCATCAAATTGCATGTACTAAATTGCTATACTTCATGCACAATAAACAGCTTTGAAATACGAAAATATATGGGTGCGTCTTATATTCAAGTGCCTGTATTCCTATCTTGTATTCCTAACGCTATAGTGTCCCGCACTATTTTTTGACAAACTAACTTGCAACAACACACGTGGATATTAAATGGTGATTCACACTTTTTTCCCCCTTTGAGACATTAACCTACATAACCGCAAATGTACTGTAGGTGGCAATGTCTCCGTCCATTTTCTTCTTGACAAATTTCTTGGCCTGTATAAATACAAATCGACGTTAGATGGCGATATTTCACTAGTTTTTACTTGACAAACTACAGTACTGTACATGATTCATATAAGATCATTTTACATGTTAAGTGCAAGAATTGTACAGAAATTACAGAATTTAATTGATTAGGTTGTATATGTCTACACAGAATATTCAGATTTTGTAGCTTTTTGAAGATTTTTCATGAGAAGGTCTATAAACATGAGTTATGTTTAAATTTTTGCCAAGTCTTCACATATCTCCCAACAATCGGTATAGCGGTGGGACCTTGACAAGGCATTGCCAGTGACATGACATGCTTGGCTAGCAACGTCCATAATAGATGGACCTACTGTTAGGATGCTGGATCAACCTCCAGCCTTTAGGATCATGCAGGGAGTACCGCTAAAGTGCTCCCTAAATGGTCCTGGTGCCTGCTACACACGCTCACATTGTGCTTTCTGGGGACATGTCACTGGTGTCCTCAATTGCGAGGCGCAAGGAAACCAAAACAGGACAGGACCAAAAATCAAGACTTTTCTGTCGAAAAACAGGACTGTTAGAAGTTCTATCTTCATTCCGCAGTAATTTCCCACATTATACACGGCTTCTAAAATTTACATGCAGCATTTTCTCTATACCCGTGTAAAAATATAACTCCATATTTAGAAAGAAAAATAAAAAAATACAGAGGAAAAACCATACACTTTTTATAGTGTTACCCATTAGGATTTGTAGCCAGCCCGTGCTGCAAAGGAAAAGTATGTGACAGAAGCTTCATCTATTTGTTCTGGTTTTGGGAATACCTCATATGCCTAGGATTTTGATATGTATAAAAAAAAAACTTAATTATATTTATTTATTTATTGCAGTTACAGGTCATATATCAAAAGGAATGCATTTTAAAAATAAATGTTTTCAAATGTTGGATATATTAGGTTTAAAGGAACACTATAGTTTCAGGAATACAAACATATATTCCTGACACAATAGGTCAATGCGCTTGTTATGTCCCAGGCCCCTACTTACCCCCATTAAAAAGCTAATTTACTCACCTTTATTCCAGCACCATGTGGGTCTCCTTGCGTCTGGCCCTGCCACTGCTCCGTCTCCTTAGCTGAGATAATCACATTTGATGATCTTAGGCAATCCAATGCTTTCCCATTTTTCAATCAGAGCGGCCCCCTAAGAAGGGGATGGGGCCAGAGAGGGTGTGTTTTGTCATCACTAATGACAAGCACGCCCCCTCTCAAAGTGAGCATGTTGGTTCAATGCGCAGAGCCCCAGCTGAAGAGCTCTGGCATTAGAAAAAGGCCCTGTATTTGTTCTGCGCTGCGCAATCAAATTTAATAACATGCTTGTGCTCAGTTTGCTTTTAAATTGTCTCTTGTGTCTTCATAAGTGGGATTCCAGGGACAAAAGGGCCAAGAAAGTGTATGGTGCATGTGTTTGGAGCCCTCTTGTGGGATTGCGTGTGTGTAGAGTGTGGTGTGGTATTGTGTAAATAGGTCAATTTCATTCGTGTTTGTGGTGTAATATGGGTGGCTAGGGGCTGTAGAGAGTGTGTGTATAGGGGCATAGTGTTATAGGGGATGTAGCGAGTGTGTGCATACAGGCTGTAGTGTGTGTATAGGGGTTGTAGAGAGGGTATGTTTAGAGAATGTTGTATGTGTTTGCTGGCAAGGAATGTAGTGTGTGTGTAGGTGGTGCAGTGTGTGTGTGTAGGAGATCTAGTGTGTAAAGGACCCAGAGTGTGTATAGGAGATTGTGTGGGTGTGTGTGTAGAGGATTAAGAGTGCATATAGGGTAAGGGATCTAGCGTGTATCTGGAGCGTAATGTGTGTAGTGGTGCAGTGTGAGGGGTGCTGTAGTGTGTGTGCATATATATATATATTTATATATTTGGACGTATTGTATGTGTGAGGGGCGCAGTGTGGGTGTGTGAAGGGTGCTGTGTGTGTGTGTGTGTGTGTGTAAGAGGGGTGCTATGTGTGAGGGTGTTTTTATCTGCCGTCACATTCTATTTTCTAATTTTCTTTGTCTGTTAACTCACTGAGGTTTTTTTTATATATTATATATATATGTGTATATAAAAAAATGATTGGAAATGACCGCACTCCAAGGACTTGTCGATAGTAAAAATAAAATATAACTTTTATTCTATATCATATAAAAATATCGACGTTTCAGCCCCAATACACGGGCTTTCATCAGGATGGCAATATATGTGTATATATGTATATATATATATATATATGTGTGTGTGTGTGCTGTATATGTGTGGGAGTGTGCTGTGTGTGAGGGTGCTGTGTGAGCGAGGGAGCTGTGTCTGTCTGAGGGTGTTGTGTGCGTCTGAGGGTGCTGTGTGCGTCTGAGGGTGCTGTGTGAGTGAGGGTGCTTTGTGTGTCTGAGGGTGCTTTGTGTGTCTGAGGGTGCTTTGTGTGTCTGAGGGTGCTGTGTGTGTCTGGGGGTGCTGTGTGTCTGGGGGTGCTGTGTGTGTGTCTGGGGGTGCTGTGTGGGGTGCTGTGTGTGTCTGGGGTGCTGTGTGTGTGTGAGGGTGCTGTGTGTGTGTGGGGGTGCTGTGTGTGTGTGGGGGTGCTGTGTGTCTGAGGGTACTGTGTGTGCCTGGGGGTGCTGTGTGTGTGAGGGGGCTGTTAGTGTGAGTGTAAATTTATTTTTTATTTAAATATATTTTTTATTAATAATTAAAAAAAAAAAAAGGTTATATCCCCCCCTCCCTTCTTACCTTTAGCCTGGGAGGGGGGGGGGAGAGCCGGGTTTCCATGGAGTGGGGAGCCATGCTGCCTTCCCTGGTGGTCCTAGTGGTGAGTGTGAACTCTAGCCAGCAGGCTAGAGTTCACTCTCGTGAGATCTGAGCCTTGCTGTGGTAACCACGGCAACGCTCAGACCTCGCAAGAGGACCCGGCGGAACTGCTGGCTATTGCTCCACCGGGTTTTCTCACTCCCTCCCTCCCTCCCCAGACGGGGGCCGCATCTCAGTGCCTCTGGGCCCATGAAGGCACACAGCAGGGCCGGCGCTCGGATAGCGCTAGCCCTGCAGGGGCTGGCAGGGGAGATCCTGTGATCTCCCCTGTAGGCCTCGGCCCACAGCCATCACGGCCCACTGTGCATTTGCCCGGTAAGCCCGATGGCCAGTCCGGGCCTGCCTCATAGAGATGCATTGAATCAATGCATCTCTATGAGGTATGTTCAGCATTTCCAGGCAGAGCGTGGAGACGCTAAACGTCAGTGCTGCACATTGTGCAGCACCGACCCAGGAAGCACCTCTAGTAGCCATCTGAGTAAGTGCAACTTGAGTTGTTATTGGCAGTAATGTAAATACCAACCTTTTCTCTGAAAAGGCAGTGTTTACATTGCAAAGCCTGCAGGGATAGGCTGTAGACACCGGTACCACTACAGTAAGCTGTATTTGTTGTGATATAGTGTCAATATGGAGCTTCTAGAAAATAGGGACATTAGGATAGAAATGAGGGGCAGAGGGATTTGGGCCCAAAATAGGTACTGTCCCTGTTATATATGGACACTTGGGTAGTGTGAGTGTGTGACTTAATTAAACATTGGATCAGTGGAGCAGGCCCAGACTAGGTCCCCTGCTACTTCCATAACAAAACAAAGCAAAGCCAGCTCCGTAGCTAGTGCCTGGATTGTTGTCATAGCAGCAGTTAAAGCTTCTGAAATCTCCTGGGTGTGTTTGGTTCTATTGAGGAAAGATTAAAATAACATATCTGCTTCATTTTCTTTGTGTATCACGCTAAGGCACTTAGTTAATGTTTCATCTAGTTAGAAAGCACCTTAACATAAAGGGTGCCAGATTGCTGTGTTAATGAGCGTACTTATAAAATAATATACTCTTCAGCACTGCATTGGGATAAATATTTAACAGAACAATGCAAGTGTAGAATTTATTGCTTTGCTTAGATTTTACTCAGGTCATATACAACCTTACAGTCTTAAAAGGAAACTCTTGGCTATTACCCACTATAACAAACTGTAGTGGTTATGGTGCCGGGAAGGGTCCCCTGGCATTGTCCACTGGTAATGGTTTGCAAATGGTTTGACACCTATTTTACTACATTGGGCACCTAGTGCCCTTCCAATTCGAGTCTGTCTGATATAGTTCATAGTTCAACATTATCATACCAACTCATACCTGATTTAAAAAGTACTTGTTGCCTGCAAGCTGTCAGCTGACATTTTTGGCCAATGAGTAAGGTTTAAACCTGGTATGATAATACGTATGTACGAACTTCCCCTTTATCAGACCAACTTGGACTTTAAACAAACATTGTAGAGTTAAGAATACATATCTGTATTCCTAATGCTACAGCCCCGATGCCCCTTATCAATTAGATCCCCCCTTGTGTGAAATTAAAAAGAACAAATTTAATTATTAGTTTTTTTACACAAAGAATTCACAGATCTCTGTGAATGATCATACTTACACAGAGCATGCGCTGTATTGATTCAACAGAGGCGCTGGAGTTGCAAAGTGTGCATAGGAGGGCATGGGAGGGCTGTCCAGGTGGTTGTGGGCAAGCCATTCTCCTGATGATAAAACAGCAGTACAGGAGTAGGCAACCTTTGGCACACCAAATGTTTTGGACTTCATCTCCCATAATGCTGGCAAAGCATCATGGGAGGTGTAGTTCACAACATCTGGAGTGCCGAAGGTTGCCTACCCCTGCAGTAGGAGGTGTGTTGTGATGTCAGTTAGCAGAAGACTGCAGGAGGGAGGCGGCAGGCAGGAAAAGTGCAGAGCCTTTGTTAGCTCAGCACTGTATGGGTTGCGCATGGGCTGGTGGCCTCGCTCCCAGTGCTGTCCAGGGTATCTCCCAGTAGACTGAAGTATCTAGTTCAGACCAGGCTACTAGTCTATGACAAGTATGTATAAAGTCCCTGAAAGTGTTTGCAAGTGGCCGCAGTGTGCTGGACCGACCCAAGATATGGTGTTGCCGGGGTCCATAGTCAAAGTGCTGCACCCTACACCACTGCCTTACCTGACAAGGTGAGTCTACCCAGAAAGGCAGAGTCTAGGACAACAGACAGAAAAAACACAACAGACGTATTACCGGACCTTAGAATGGCCGGGCTTAACATAAGAAAGAAAGCAATCAAAGATCAGATCAGAATATCAAGAAGAAGAAAAAAAAAGAAAAGTATACACGTGCAAATTAAATACTAGAAACAGAAACCATGACAGGGCAATTAAATAGGTGTACTGTACCTTTAAATATGCGTATTTGCACACTGATTAGGCCACGTCACTCCAAAAATTTGGGGAATCGGGTTGCGTGAATGACATGGTCTCTCCGGGAGTAGAAGTGACAGGGGGCACTTTTATTTTATATAAGGAAGGGCCGTTTATCCTGACAAGAGGCAGGCCGCTCAAGGGTAGGACCCTTTAAACTAACAAAAGCCCACCTTCTGAAGTTTTCACATTCCCTCTAATGCATCTACCCACATCCAACAGTAAATCCAGATGTTCATCTCCCCAGTCCTGAAGTGGCTGTTTGGGTCACCGGCCCCTCTCTGATCGCAATAAAAAGGCGATTTTCCTCACCTTTTATCCCACGCTGTGCTACCGGACTGGCCAATAGGAAAGCATTGGGAGGCTATTGCGCATGCGAAGCAAAATGCCACACTGAGCCAATCAGCATCTCCTCAAAGAGATTCATTGAATTAAGGTGTGGAGATGCTAAATGCCAGTATTGCACACTGTACAGCACTGGACTAAGAAGCACCTCTAGTGGCCATATGAGTGACCGCCACTAGAGGTGTTACTAGGCACCAATGTAAACACTGCCTTTTCCCAGGGCGAGAAATTTTCCCTGAAAAGGCAGAGTTTACAGTGCTCTGCCTGCAGGGACAGGCTATAGACATCAGAACCACTATATTAAGCTGTAGTGGTTCTGGTGACTATACAGGGAGTGCAGAATTATTAGGCAAGTTGTATTTTTGAGGATTAATTTTATTATTGAACAACAACCATGTTCTCAATGAACCCAAAAAACTCATTAATATCAAAGCTGAATATTTTTGGAAGTAGTTTTTAGTTTGTTTTTAGTTATAGCTATGTTAGGGGGATATCTGTGTGTGCAGGTGACTATTACTGTGCATAATTATTAGGCAACTTAACAAAAAACAAATATATACCCATTTCAATTATTTATTATTACCAGTGAAACCAATATAACATCTCAACATTCACAAATATACATTTCTGACATTCAAAAACAAAACAAAAACAAATCAGTGACCAGTATAGCCACCTTTCTTTGCAAGGACACTCAAAAGCCTGCCATCCATGGATTCTGTCAGTGTTTTGATCTGTTCACCATCAACATTGCGTGCAGCAGCAACCACAGCCTCCCAGACACTGTTCAGAGAGGTGTACTGTTTTCCCTCCTTGTAAATCTCACATTTGATGATGGACCACAGGTTCTCAATGGGGTTCAGATCAGGTGAACAAGGAGGCCATGTCATTAGATTTTCTTCTTTTATACCCTTTCTTGCCAGCCACGCTGTGGAGTACTTGGACGCGTGTGATGGAGCATTGTCCTGCATGAAAATCATGTTTTTCTTGAAGGATGCAGACTTCTTCCTGTACCACTGCTTGAAGAAGGTGTCTTCCAGGAACTGGCAGTAGGACTGGGAGTTGAGCTTGACTCCATCCTCAACCCGAAAAGGCCCCACAAGCTCATCTTTGATGATACCAGCCCAAACCAGTACTCCACCTCCACCTTGCTGGCGTCTGAGTCGGACTGGAGCTCTCTGCCCTTTACCAATCCAGCCACGGGCCCATCCATCTGGCCCATCAAGACTCACTCTCATTTCATCAGTCCATAAAACCTTAGAAAAATCAGTCTTGAGATATTTCTTGGCCCAGTCTTGACGTTTCAGCTTGTGTGTCTTGTTCAGTGGTGGTCGTCTTTCAGCCTTTCTTACCTTGGCCATGTCTCTGAGTATTGCACACCTTGTGCTTTTGGGCACTCCAGTGATGTTGCAGCTCTGAAATATGGCCAAACTGGTGGCAAGTGGCATCGTGGCAGCTGCACGCTTGACTTTTCTCAGTTCATGGGCAGTTATTTTGCGCCTTGGTTTTTCCACACGCTTCTTGCGACCCTGTTGACTATTTTGAATGAAACGCTTGATTGTTCGATGATCACGCTTCAGAAGCTTTGCAATTTTAAGAGTGCTGCATCCCTCTGCAAGATATCTCACTATTTTTGACTTTTCTGAGCCTGTCAAGTCCTTCTTTTGACCCATTTTGCCAAAGGAAAGGAAGTTGCCTAATAATTATGCACACCTGATATAGGGTGTTGATGTCATTAGACCACACCCCTTCTCATTACAGAGATGCACATCACCTAATATGCTTAATTGGTAGTAGGCTTTCGAGCCTATACAGCTTGGAGTAAGACAACATGCATAAAGAGGATGATGTGGTCAAAATACTCATTTGCCTAATAATTCTGCACTCCCTGTAGTGTTCCTTTCAAGGGAAACTATAGTCACCAAAACAACTTTAGCTTAATATAGTGGTTTTGGTGACTATAGATCATGCCCCTTCAGTCTCACCTCTCAGTTCTCTGCCATTTAGTAGTTATATCACTTTGTTTATGTACACCTCCCTGCATGTGACTTGCACTGTCTTCCTAAACACTTATTGTAAGAGAGAACTAATGTTTATACTTTATTGCACAGTCTGTTTCATTTAGAATTACTTATCTTCTGCTCTGCAAATAGTTTGTTATAACTTGCAGGAACCTACTGTGTGTTATTAAATTTAAATTTACAGATCAAGATATAATAACTTTTAAAGTAAGTTAACATCTGATTGAAAATTGAAAAATAAACATTTTCATGCAGGCTGTGTCAGTCACAGCTAGGGGAGGTGTGGATACGGCTGCATGAACAGAAACAAAAGTGATTTAACTCCTAAATGGCAGTGAATTGAGAGAGTGAGACTGTAGGGACGTGATCAATACACCAAAAGTGTTTCATTAAGCTAAAACTGTTTTGGGGACTATAGTGTCCCTTTAAATTTGAAATGAATTTTGAATTTAATAGAATTACATCCCTTAAACAAAATATAGAGCTCTGCTTGGTTATATATTAACTCACAAGACTGAAGGTTGACTATCAACTTTAAGTCTAATGAGTTAATATATAACCAGACAGAGCTGTAAAGTTTCCAAATATATGTGCAATTAAACGTTTGTCTTTTATATTAAGATATTTACACGTATCTATATTAAATAATGCAGCTGCTAAAACACTAAATGCGTAATTCTTCAAATTCACAGAACCGCGTGAACTAAAAATCCACTGTTTCAATTTTTAGAGCTTTACATTTTGCTTAAAGAATTTAATTCTATGTCTTGTTTTCCCCCCTCCCCCCCCACCCCATTTCTTACTGTGTCATCGGTGCCAACAGTCCCAATTTTGCCAGGACAGTCCTGTATTTTGGGGTCCTGTCCAAGTAAAAATTGGTCTCTGTGACCTGGCCCACATTCTAAGTTCTCCCCAACAGTTCAATCTGAGTGGTGGATTAGTGGACTCAGGAGGGGACAGGTCACTAGGGGCATTCACAGAATGCTTCCGCTGTGCTCTGTGCATAGTGTTTCTTGGGGAGGGCTATCAGTCACCTTGACTAACCATGTTAAGGGTTAACCTAACCCCATCCCTGGGCCCTGCCCCTTGGGGCAGCCTGCTCCCTTGCCTGCCCACCTAATAGTGGGTAAGGAATGTTGGCAGGTACAGCTGATGTTTTGCTGTATCCGTATCAGCTGACAGCCCCCTATATAGTCCCACTTATATGTATCTGTGTTTGGGAGAATATTCTGAATTGGAGCATCTGGGTGGCAGTATACTATTGTATTTTGGTTGACATACTGATTTGTAGAGGGTGAAGTCGTTTTCTTTGTATATTCATACACAAGCGCAAAATTATTTTATACTTTCTATCTGCCTCCTGTGGGCCAGTATGAGCGAGAGGGGGTGGGGTTGTCACACCTAGCCCCCCTCATCTCACCGTAGCATTTCAGGAGCTGGTCTGTGTATCCAGAGCTGGTACCCAGAGCAGCCCCACTATTGCAATAACAAGAAAAGACAGGACTTTAAATAGTGGGTGGCCCCTTCTTTCTGCTGCAGGGCTGCCAGAGGCTACCTCTGTTTAGGGGAGTAAGGGAGCGCTGTTACGGTGCCCTTATCTTTGACCAAGTTGGACACCAGGGAAAAAAATCTTGGTTGGCAGGATAGGAGTCCGAAATAAGGACTGTCCTATTGGACCTAGGACAGCTGGGAGGTCTGTAGTCGCATCTTGGCAATTTAGACTGCATTTTGCAAATCACTGTAATGCAGTGTTTAGCAAATAAATTGTTAAATAATTAAATTGCAAGGAGTGACTTCTGGGAAAAGCAATATAAGCAATTCTAGGATATATATTTGGCTTCCATTAAACAGTGTAATGCTGTGACAAGGGTTGCCAGAAACCTCATGTTTTCATGAACCTATTATCTTTAAACAGATGGCATCACATAAAACAAGCTGCCTTGCAGTATGTAGCATTCAGATGCTGCAGAAAAGAAATCCATTAAAGGATTTAAGTTGTTTTATTAATATACTTTTCTCTAGCAGCATATGAATTCTATATACTGCAGTACTT